AAGCGGTTTGGGACTACTTGCTAGCAAGTAGTTCGAAGCGGTTTCAAACGGTTTCGATCTATTTGTAAGCACGTGTTTTTGGTCTTAATTTCCAGCATTTCTGGGAACTACTTGAAACCATTTGAAACTACTCTGAAACCACTTCACCTCCTGGGATGGGGTGCCTTAAAGCATGCTTACAAGTAGCTCGAAACGGTTTGAAACGGTTTGGGACTATTTGCTAGCAAGTAGTTCGAAGCGGTTTCAAACGGTTTCGGACTACTTACTACTACTGGCTAGGAAGTAGTTCGAAGCGGTTTCGGACTACTTGCTAGGAAGTAGTTCGAAGCGGTTTGAAGCGGTTTCTGGGTCAGTGATGGTGGAAAACTACCAAGATTATTATTATACTGACTATATACTATAGACTCTATAGACTCTAGACTAGACTATACTATACTTTATTACTTGTCACAATGTCACATGTCAGTTTATATCCTGACTCTTACTCTCTCATTCTTTGTTAAGTTGTTAAGATACTATTCGGAAGTGGGAGAATCGGGAGAATTACTAAACTTAACTGGGGTGAAGTTGCAGCCGGGCCAGTCATGTAGTCGAGTCATGTCATGTAGTTTTAAAGTCGGTCAGTCAATTTAAAATTCACCTGATCAAACAAGCAATCTAAGAGCCTTGACTTCGACTGCCGACCTAACTTCAAATGTCCAGTAACAAGTGCGTTTGTCAGTTCGTCTGTAAGTATGTATGGGCCAAAGAGCCTGGAGGCTCGCATAGTGAACGTCCAGGCAGGCGCGTTCTCGTTTGTTCAGCTTGCCCGCAACCATCAGCCGGGAGTCACAATAGGCCGAAACAGGGCCATACGGGGTTATCCAAAGATTCTTCTTGAAGGACTTGACCAGGAGGGCGGTGCTTTTCGATGACCTCCCGTCCTGCCAGCACAGTGCTTCTGACAAAAGCTTTGACATTGGGCCGGTGAGCCAAAAGTCTGGAAAACGGGAAACAACTTTGGAAACCGCTTCTGATGCGACGCTTCCATTCTAAACTAACAAAACAGCTTTGGCTCCATTATGCCATTGGCAGTCTAGAAAATAGAAATAGTTTCTGCAACATTTAGAAACCGCTTCCTGACTAAACTGCTTTGTGGAACTCCACCCCTTCCGCAGGTCTCTTCAAAACTGGCTACCGCTACCGCCCCGAACACCAGACAGAAAACTCCGTAAATTCGCGGAACTGGGGAGCGGATTGGTGCGAGGTCCTTGGAGGTGGTCGGCAGAGTCGGGCTCCGTCCCATGACCTCAATGGCATGCCGATTGTGCGTCATGATCTCCTTGATGGTCGGCCTGCGGCTGGCGTCCTTTAAAGACTTTGACAGGACTGTCCCGGCAATCTACCCTAGATTGGCAGCTGTGCTCTCTGGACACACGTCTTTCCTGCTCAGCACAATGTACAACCGCTTCCTCGTTTGAGGGATTTGATATTGCGATGTCCTCAATCCGGCAAAGAACACGGCAAACGTTTAAAGTTTCAAGGTGACTCATGTGACAATTCACGATCCCTCATGAGCATGACTCACTCATGACAACTCATGACTCATTCTCTGATTCTGATGAGTGTCACACTGACTGTGACCCTGACTCTGACTAAAATGCCAAGGGTCTCCAGAACCATAGTTGTCAGCCAATAGTCCGGGATGTGTGCCAGCCCAACTGTTTCACCAGTGTCTTCATCGCATCCGTGCAGCATGTAGTCCAAAGGGCACTGAGCAGGCGGAGGCGATGCGGGGCATCCACGGTGTACGCATTAAGCAGACTATGGAATTCCTGGAGTCCTATGGATAATATCGAAACATATCATATCACATATCTCATCTCAGCCAATGAACGAATGACAACTCATTGTTCATTATATAATATAATATAATATTATCTTCAGAAACTTTATATAACCATCCGGATCCCGATCCCGATCCCTGTCCAACCTGCATAGAGACGTCAGTCTGTGTCTACGTTCACCCTTTCAATCAAACCCACACTTGGTTGCTTCAAACCAATGTGAATTGCTTGAGATAAACAGTCTCACAGCGTGACTATGGCTAGTAACACCCTACAGTCCTATGGTCCATGGTCCATGGTCCTATCATCCCTTGTCTACTTGTACTTTTGTACATGTGTAAGAGCAGTCAGTGGTCCGTGACAGTCCGTGTCTATGTTAATCTTTGCCGCCACTGGCCATGCCTACATCCAGGGTATATGCCACCCACATCAAACCCACACTTGGCTGTCCCAGTGAGAAAATGGTTTCAGAATGGTTGAGATTTACAAGCTCCGGTCTCATCTAACATCTGGAAAAAGAATGCGCAACAACAACTTTTCTGCTCCATCCACAGAATATGGATTGGTATGGACTGGATTGGTGAGAATTGGAATGTGGTTCTGTTGGAATCAGCTTCTTGTTATTTCCATCCCATCCCGGCCCATCCCTGAAAAAAAATACATGCGAGGTTTGGAGGTTTGGCTGGGTTGGACCCCCAGAGCATAGCCTTTTTGTCACGTCTCATCACATCGACAATCTTTCCAGAATGTTGCTCACCGCAACCCGCACCAAGTTAACCTCAGCATCCCTGGCTACAATCTCCAGCTTTGAAACAGTACTGGATCTCAAGTTGTAGTTGTCAGCTGCGCTTATCACGCAGTAAGGGTGCAGCCATGCGTTTGGCTTTTTGGTATTCCACCACCATTGAAACCTCACATCACCCTTCGCTATCAAAGCATGGCAAACATGACACTTCGATCTGCCACTGGCTGCCAGGCCATTTTCAGCGCCAAGGCCCAGTTCCCGGCTGAAGAAGGAACCTTGCGCCGACATTGTGGAAACAATGCTTTCGACTTGCGCTCTGGAACTGGAAGCTGAAGCTATATCATCCACAACTGCATTGGCAGCCAGGACTTCAGCAAGCATGGTCTCAGAAACTGGTTCAACTGGCTCCGTCTCATCTATATTCTGGGCATCGGCATTGGCATCTAAATCACTTGGCTCCGAATCCTCTGAATCTGAACTAGCTGAGTCATCAGCGTCAGAGCCAGAGCCACCAAGCTGAGCAGCACCGGTATGAGAAAGAGAACCTGGCTGGTCTGAAGTCGTAGCAACTTCGCCTGATTGAAGCCCGGCTGGAACGCTGGGCTGCTTTTGCGGTCTTTGACTTTTCTTTCTTTTTCTTTGCGGTCGCTGCAGCTTCATGCCAAACGGCAGATTTGAAGTTTTTGGCGGCTCACTCTTTTTGGTTTGAGCATTGCAGTTGATTTTGAATGAAATCTGAATGTCTTCAGTGCGAACCTGCAAACAATCAGCTTGGTCGACGAAAGGCTCGCACCGCCAAATCTCGAATGTCAGCTCAAACACCTTCGCCTGCGATGCAACTCTGCTTTTGGAAGCTTCTGTAAGCATCTGGCTGAAAATCTCACACGAAGTACGAACTTGAAGCCTGCTTGCATCATCCAATTGGAAGGATGCTCTAGTATCCTCTACACTGGCGATGATCAAGGTTTGCAGGCACGGCTTCTTCACAGTGACACCTAAAAATGCAGCCACTGTTGACGAGCACAAATCGCTGCTGATGTGCATCAAGGCTCCAGCCTTGATGCTGTGTGAATCCAAGTTCTTTGCAAAGGCTCGCACCAGTTTCATGGCATTGTGAAAAACTCCACTGCTTCGGCACATGCCAGGCAGGCAGGTTTCATCATTGGCCTCCAGTTCCTGCGCTGCATGCAAATGTTTTGCAACATCCTCCGGGCACGACTGTTTGTGAAGGGTCTCGTGCAGGAAAGTGTGGACTGCTGAGTCTGATGAAGAGACATCAATGTCCTTGGCTTTGAGGGCTCCATCACCTTAGCAGAGATCCCGGATCCCGATTTTATGGAAGTAGTGCCGCAGTGCAGTATGGACGATCAAACAAAAAGCAAAACTTCAAAACAGTACAGGCAAAACGGCAAAACTAATTATAATACTGACAGTACTAGTCCTAGTACTTATACACAGGTGGCTTCACACTCCCCTTTATCAACATCATACACTCAGTCTAACAGTCCACAGTCTATCCGTCTATAGTCTAAAGTCTATAGTCCATAGATACTCGTCGATCCTGTGAAAGAAAAACAGTTGCTGCGTCTCGTTGCTTGTTCTGCCTACAAGGAACCGTCTCCCATTTGCGAAGGGCTGGACCAAAGAGGGTGGGAATGGTACAGCTCTTTGTTGATGGCTAGGCGTTTGGCAGAAATCTTTGAAAGACCTTTTTTGCCCACTTCCTCCTCCAAAGAAAGAGTTACTTGTAGCTCGGGACGGTCAGGCTCCAGTTGCTTCTTTGGCTTGAGGGCAGCTTCAGAAACTCTGTGGCGTACTTGTTGTTCATGCACTGCCTGAACCTGGAAATCCTCTTTCTGCTCGCTTCCCAAACCGCGCCACTCCTTTGATAAGGAGCTTACCTTGCTTTGGTATTCGGCCATAGAAAACTGTTGTCCACCCAAGCGCTCCCGCTGAAAGACATTCCAGCCGGAAAGAGATCTGACATTCCTACTCTCTGCACGTTCAAGTCGCAGCTGCTTTTGCTGGATGGATTCCATTGGTCTGCGTTGAGGCTCCGCTGCCTGGAGCAAAACTTTCACACCCGGCCCGATCTTATTACACTTTAGACTGAGTCTGAGTCTGAGTCTATTTGTTGTTTGTCGTTTGTCGAACAAGTCATCCGTCATCGCATCTCACAAACAAATAACAAGACTCAGACGGACTCGTAAAGAAAAGGGAATGGGAACCGGAATCTGATCAAATCAAACAAGTGCGCCGCCTCCCCAGTGTTCTGATGAAGCTGCTGGGAATTCTGGTTGGTAGACTTGACACCCACTTGCCGCTGTATAGCTGCGGAAACCCTGGGCGCTGGCATTGTGAGAGCCTGTACTTCGTCTTGAGCAATGCAATGATTTCGAATGGCTGACTGCAGAACGCTAGTCTCTCGCGCTGCTGGAGCCTTCTTTACATACATTGATGCCCTTTTAGAGACGGCCCACTGCATGTTTCCATGCTTGATTTCAACCGTGTCTGCGTTGACAGGCGTGTAGCTTGCAATGTGATTCAAGACCCGGCACACTTCTTCTTGTACGGCGAGCTGAGTGTGAAGCGTTTGATGAGCCAGCGGCTCTGGGCCAAAAGGAGCCAACAATGCCTGTGAGAATTCCGTGTCCAAGCATGTGGGGCACAAGCGTTTGGTCTTCAGAAGCTCGTCCCATTCTTTGACAAACCCTGCAAGGTTTTTCCTCAACCTCAGGAAACTGAAGACCTTGAGAGGATATCTGTTGCACTCCTGCACTAATCTTCGCCACAAATCAGAGGAGCAAGCGCAAACCAGTTGAAAAAGCAACTTCAACCTTTCAGAAGAGGGCTGCAAGCCCATATGGACATTCTCAGACAACCCGTTCTCAAGAAGACGGAGAGTCCGGCTGATGCAATCATGCCCAAAATCACCACAAACAATGTACAAGAACGACTCTGCACATTCCTCTTTCAATGACTCATACTCGGGATGGGAGCTTCCAAGCCCTGTCAAACGGGTGAGCTGGCCAGTGCGCTTGAAGAGAGCATTAATTGCAGGCTCAAATGCATTGATCAAGCTCTCAATGACTATCGATCCCTGCAGAAAATTGGGTTTTGAGAGCTGCTCTGCCACAAGACGGCGCCTGACTGAGTTCTGAAGGCTGTAGCTCAAATCATTGTCCAGCAACGTATCTACCATGCGCTGGACATCTTCTGGAGTTGGATTGTCTGCAGTAGATCTCTCCTGGCACAAGATGTCTTGGACCAAGCTGGCTACCTCCGATCCAGCTTCTGTGCTGTTGGCCGCGTTTTGCTGCATCTGGGCCATAATTCGAGGGAGCAGTCTGAAGGCACAACAGCCAAACTTCATGTAGCCGGCAGCTGGGGAGAAGTGCTTGAATCTATATAAAAGAGGCACTGAAAACCCCCGCGCAAACAGTGGGATTGCCAAGTGTAAAAGTTTTTGGAAACTCTCCTCGTTGCTTTCGCAGCAGTTTCTACAATAATGCGTCACTGTGTCCAAGCGGGAGTCGCCATTGGCAAATTCAAGAAAATCAACCAGCTTCTGGCGCGCGGCCTTAGACGGACAATCAAAGGACCGCTGGATCCAGTCTGCTCTGCAGCGCCACTCGGGCATCTCAGTCGGAAAATCTGCCACGGGTATTCCTTGGCTTCGTCGGGGCAGCGCACGTGTTCTTTTGAAGTAGCAGTAGGGTAGTCGGTAGTGGCGTCGTGCTTGGTACCGTCGTCTACCTTCTATATAGTGTTGTTTTAGTCTTAGTCAGTCTTGTCTAGTCTAGTCTGGTCTACAGTCTACATGACTCATGAGTCATGAGTCTCACAAGAGTATTTTTAGTACGTCTCACCGTCTCATAGTCCACAATAATAGTAGTAGTAGTAGTAGTAGTAGTAGTAGTAGTAGTAGTAGTCAGTAGTCACATAGTCAGGTCATAGTACTAACGTAGTACACCGTTGTCTATACAGGTCCAGTCTATTTGCCTGCCTACCGCCTACCAACAAAAACACACAAGCACCAATTCACGACTTGGGCGCGTTGGAAAGCTCCAGGTGCACTCAACACTTGGACAAGTGCCAAAGAGAACTTTTTCTTGAAAGAAAAACTCTCGAAGAGGTGTGATAATCTGACCAAACTTGGCCAAAATGAGTCGAAGCAAAGCACCCCCATCTTCCGCACCAGGCTGATTTGGTGGAGAAAGCATTTGACGCGCAGTCCAAGCCTGCGCTGCTCATCTGCTGCAAGTAGGAGGCGCCGCTCCACCTTGAACATGGCATCGTTGGTGGGTAGGGCGTCGCCAACCAGCGCATGTACCCTCCACCTAGCTGCTTGACAAATGGATGGAGGGCATTGCAAAGCCTTAAGGCCATATCCCACACCAGCACTTGAAAGCAACATGTAGGCACTATACCCAGCATAAAGGTCTTCAGTCTTCGAGGAAGCCAAGCAATACATGGGTGTCGGGATC